AGTGGGCAGCCATTGCTGCGGCGCCCGGGGAGCAGTTGGGGGTTCAGTGCCTTGCTCAAGGGCACCTCAGTCGTGGTATTGAAGGTGGGAGAGAGCGCTGTACATTCACTCCCCCCCACCTACAATCCAAAACGAGACTCGAACCCACAACCTTTGGGTTATGAGTCCAAGTCTCTAACCATTAGGCCACGACTTCCCCCTAGGGAAGGGTTTATTGACAAAACAGATCAATACAAAAGGGTTGTGAGGTGCACAGGTGTTGTGAGGTGCACAGGTGATACCACAACAGGAACACAATAAACAGATAGCTAGGGAAGGCCACTGGAACAGCCTCAGACATCAACTGGCAGAATACTATAGCAGAGGCGGCAAGACCAGGCCGGGAGAGAGACCAGAGCAAGGTACCAGAGAGCTGAGCTCAGATACTTGTTGACCATAAACTCGGTGTCTGGGGTGCTTCCAGGCAAGGGAACCAGTGGACAGGAACAGGAACTCTAACACCACAACAAGACAAAGCATAGCTCCACAGAAACAAATTACTCCAAGACAGGCAGGAGAATAAACAAAAGGACTAAATATTAAGGAACATCCTCTGAGGGACTCGTCAGAAACAGCAGATAGCCAGTCTGGTATGATCTCAGTAGGCGTAACCTCACTAGCAGGAACATCCTCTGAGAGACTCGTCAGAAGCAGCAGCTAGCCAGTCTGGTATGATCTCAGTGGGCGTAACCTCACTAGCAGGAACATCCTCTGAGGGACTCGTCAGAAGCAGCAGCTAGCCGGTCTGGTATGATCTCAGTGGGCGTAACCTCACTAGCAGGAACATCCTCTGAGGGACTCGTTAGAAGCAGCAGCTAGCCGGTCTGGTATGATGTCAGTGGGCAAGGAACACTTTGTATGGCCCAGACAGAATAGGTAGGGACAACCTCTGAAGGCATGATTTAACAGACAGGAATGATCTCCATGAACTTAACTGGCAGGAACCACTTTGGATCTGACATACCAGGCAAGAACCATCTCTATGGACTTGACACGACTGACAGGAACATCTTCTGTGGACTTGACAGACAGGAACGATCTCAAAGGGTTTGACTTGACTAACAGGAACAACTTTTGTGGACATGACAGGTAGGAGCATCTCAATGGACTTGACTGGCAGGATCAACTTCTGAAGGCGTGACATGAAAGGCTGGAACAGTCTCTTCTATAACGGCTGTAAATGAGTCAACTGGACTGGGAGGCTTGAAAGAATACTTTGTAACGGTAACTTGAGACTCTGACACCAAGGCCAACGAACTAGACACCTCTGGACTCCCAGGGATTGAGGGTTCTTGACTCGGGTCCTCCTGGACCCATGGGTTGAATCGTCATAAGGAAGGCCCATAAATTGAAATGCATGTCCTCTCCTTCTCCACATATGAGGGGGGATGACAACATATTGATCAGCCAACACAGGGTTAATTGAAGCGGATTTGATTGACTCAGAGGTGGCTACAATAGCCGGGGTCAACACTGGAACGACCCGAAATGACTTGACTGCAATTTGGGATGGCCGCATCGGTCAGGATCAACTCGAAAGTCTGGAATTAACTTAACTGACTTGGATAACTGTAGTGGTCTCAGGAATGATTGGAACATACTTGATTGAAGCAAGGATAGCAATCTCAGTGGGCTCAGGAGTGTCTGCAGCTGGTTTAATGGACAGTGATGGCCATAGTGGTCTCAGTCGACTCGGACACAACTGGAATGGGCTTAACTTTTAGCAAGGAGAGCAGCAGCAGCTGTCCGTCAAGCTAGGAGTGTCTGGAACTAGTTAGACTGCTCCAGGGATGGCCACAGCAATCTCAGTCGACTTAAAGGTGTCTGAAACTGGCTTGACGGATTCAGAAATGGCCACAGCCCAGGATAAACAAGAAGGAAAAAATAAATAATGCATGGCCGCTTAGAACTTCCGTACACGACAGACCCCGGTTGGGAAACACTGTTCTAAATAATTCCGCGAGTGGGGCTTGAGGAAGTGACGTCGCCTGCGTCTGCGCAGTGCGACCTGATGCAGCCCCTGAAGCGAGACACAGGAAACAGAAATACTGCAAAATAATAATAATAACGAAACGAAATAACGTTATAACATTTAGTTTCGTCTCGTTTTGGTCAATGAAAATGAAGAGACATTTTAGCATAGTTTTTATTTTGTAAGCCACATTTCGTCTCGTTTTTATTCGTCAACGATATTGCATTGTACATTTAATTATCGTCATCGTCACATGACCAGCATTTTCGTCTCGTCTCGTCACGTGATAAAGGTTTGTTGACGACTATATTTAGTCATAATTTTCGTTGACGAAAGCAACACTAATTGTGACCCACTATCAAACTCAAAAAATTTTGTAATATTTCAGGTAGAAGTATATGCAAAACTGTATTCTGAAGTCATATGATTTGCATGACATAAATGGAGTACTTTTATGTTTTTCAAATACATTTTTGGTGCTTTCATTGTCGTTGTATGGAAAAAGTTGCATGAAGATGCTCTCAAATTTTTCCTTTTGTGTTCAACAGACAATAAATCATCAAACAGGTTCAAACGACATGAGAGGGAGTGAATAATGACAAATTTCATTCTGGAGTGAATGCTTCCTCTAATTCTGCTTGGTGTCAGGTTTCTGAAGCTGATCTGAATGTGTGAGATGTTGAGTGTGGATTGTGTGTTCAGTAGTATAGACTGATAGTCGTTTCTCCTTCAGTGACAGACGCACAGCAGCTCTATAAAAGTTCAACTTCATTCAAAGACAAACGTGCTTAAAACACACACACATTATACACAAACTTCATTACAACCACCAGTCCTGCACAGAACGAAATATGAGAAATAAATGACAGAAAACTACAGTGCTGTTCTTTCACTCGATTTGAATGAGCATCTCAAAACAACTAAACGCTAAACCAGCATTGTTCACTGTGGTCAGATGTTTCACATTGGAGGGTTTTTGAGCATGAATGGACTGTTTAAGGTCATGCCACAGCATCTCAATCGGATTCAAGTTCGGACTTTGACTAGGCCACTCCAAAACCTCAATGTTGTTTTTCTTGAGCCACTTGCTGGTGTGTTTGGGATCATTGTCCTGCTGCATAACCCAAGTGCGCTTGAGCTTGAGCTCACAAACTGACGGCTGGATATTCTCCTTCAGGAGTTTCTGATAGAGTGCAGAATTCATGGTTGCATCAATTATGGCAAGTCGTCCAGGTCCTGAAGCTGTAAAGCAGCCCCAGATCATCACACTACCACCACCATGTTTGACTGTTGCTGTGATGTTCTTTAATGAAATACTGTGTTGGTTTTACGCCAGATGTAACAAGACACACACCTTCCAAAAAGTTCAACTTTTGTCTCATCAGTACACAGAATATTTACCCAAAAGTCTTGGGGATAATCAAGACATTTTTTGGCAAACGTGAGACAAGTCTTTGTGTTGTTTTCGGTCAGCAGTGGCTTTTGCCTTGGAACTCTCCCATGGATGCCGTTTTTGCCCAGTCTCTTTCTTATTGTTGAATCATGAACACTGACCTTAATTAAGGCGAGTGAGGCTGCAGTTCTTTAGATGTTGTTCTGGGTTGTTTTATGACCTCCTGGATGAGTCGTCGTTGCGCTCTTGGAGTAATTTTGGTTGGCCGGCAACTCCTGGGAAGGTTCATCACTGTTCCAAGTTTTCTCCATTTGTGGATAATGGCTCTGACCATCGTTCGCTGGAGTCCCAAAGCCTTAGAAATGTCTTTATAACCCTTTCCAGACTGATACATGTCAGCTATTTTGTTTCTCATCTGTTCTTGAGTTTCTTTAGATCGCGGCATGATGTGTTGCTCTTTAAGCATGCTTCACTTTATCAGACAGCTTCTATTGAAGTGATTTCTTGATTCAACAGGTCTGGCAGTAATCAGGCCTGCGTGTGGCTAGTGAAATTTAACTCAGCTTTCTAAAATGATGTGGTTAATCACAGTTCTTTCATGATTTAACAGGAGCGGGCAATACATTTTTTACGTAGGGCCAGGTAAGTTTGGACAGTTTTTTCCCCCTTTAAAAATTAAATCATCATTTTAAAACTGCATTTTGTATTTACTTGCATTATCTTTGTGTAATATTAAAATTTGTTTGATGATCTGAATCTTTTAAGCGTGACAAATATGCAAAAAAAAAAAAAAAGAGGAAGGGGCGCAAAAACCATTTCATGCCACTGTATATACACACATGTGTATATATATATATATATATTCAAAATCATTACTCTTTCAGTTCCACATGTCATTGCATATATTCAAGCGTTTGGCAGCATTGATGCGTGCAACAACAGGATAAATCTCATAAAAATATATCCAGGTCACATTTCACACCAAAGATAAAGAAAAAGGAATTATGTTTTGCATAAAAAAATTGAACCCATTCTTATCTTTTTTTTTTTTAAAGCTTGTGACATTATTTTCAAGTACATTTTAAGCACAGTTTAATTGTATAAAAATATAAAAAGTGCATTAATAAAAAACAGAACAATCATGCATAAATGAAAGAAAGAAAGTTCAATAAATATGATTATGAAATATAAATATTGAAAATTTAAATAATGTGATTTTGTTTGTATTACAGTGATGAGAATTTAAGGGTTAAATGTGCTTAATTGTCACGAAAATAATGTCAAAACACGGACAATCTTAAAAACAGGCTTAATTTTCTTTAAGCAAAATATTATTAAACTCATTTCGTTCTATTCATTTTGGGGTCAGATATGACCTGGACAAGTTTTTGACCGGTTTTGTGAGATTCGCCCGGTAATTTAGCGTGAATGTTTAGGATTTCGAAGATATCAAAAAAGTTCATCAAAAAAAGCAGTTCTTGTTTTTGTGAGACGGGCTGAATGGAAAATAAGCTCGTGTTTTAAAAATGGTATTGTCTCATTAATGTACAAGGAACCCTATCAGATGTGACAAACACAAACCTTTTGCTTTTGTAAAACATATTTCAGCTGGTTTAAGTTGTGAGTTGTGAGCAAAACCTTCATTTGACAGGAAAGGCCTAATAATTTGTTAATACTTAAAGCCCAAAACAAGCTTTCACAAGTATAAAATGAGTAAAACAGAAAGTGGATTCAGAATCCCTGATGTCAGCAAGTCACACTCACAAACCTCCTTGAACCAGCATCATCACATCATAACATTAACCAGAAATAAAGATCACTGTGCTGAAAGCAGATGTGATTAGTCTGTAACTAAACAGCTCTTAACCAGTGAGTATCATTAGCTGGGTTAGGTCTTCATCTTTTTTCCTGATCCAGCTGTGGTTTGTTTGTTACGGCTCGTTGTAGGAGCAAATGTCTGTTAGTTTGGCTTTTTATTCTTATGCTACAGGCGGCATGATTTCTCTTTCACACTGAAACTCACTTATATCACCACAAAAACACCCATCTCGAGCTTCTGTTTAATTTAATTCCCATAATGTACTTCACTGAAGCCACACAAACACCTTGAGATCCAAAAGTCTCCACTGAGAAGACATGATGGAGCTGGAACAGGCCAGATTTACCTCCCTTCCATACCCTTTACTAGACTGACCAGAACTAGTGTGCAAACCTCCACGTCCGGCTCTGTAACAGACATCCTGATGTTAGATGTGTCCGTGAGGCTCACGGAGGGCCAGTGGATCAGAGCGAGTCCTTTAGCTCAGTGGACTCTTCAGTATTGAAGGGTTTTTGCTCTTTTTTCATCCTTTTGCTGAACCAAACACGTTCTTCTCGATCTCTGTAGGCCTTATAAATGTCTTCAGGCAAGAGTTACACAAGTCTGTTTACTCAAACGACATGAGATTCGCTGGTATCTACAAGAGCAGAAAGAGTGTTATGCATTTATAGTTTAGTTGTTCTCAGTAGCTGAACAATGTCACAACTTGCTGCATTACAACAGAACTCATTCAGAATTTTGAGTCATAAGTATTTTTTCATACTATTAAATACATATCAGTTAATATAAATATATATATATACACTAACATTCAAAAGTCTGGGTAAGATTTTTGTCTCTTCTGCTCACCAAGGCTGCATTTATTTGATCAAAAATACAGTAAAAACTGCAATATTGTGAAATATTATTACAATTTAAAATAACTAGTTTCTAGGTGAATACATTGTAAAATGTAATTTATTTCTGTGATTCTGTGATTACTCCAGTCTTCAGTGTCACGTGATCCTTCAGAAATCAGTCTAATATGATGATTAGCTGCTCAGGAAACATTTCTGATTATTATCAATGTTGAAAACAGTTGTGCTGCTTCATATTTTTGTGGAATCTTTGGTAAATAAAAAGTTAAAAAGAACAGCATTTATTTGAAATAGAAATCTTTTGTAACATTATAAATGTCTATACTGTTACTTTTGATCATTTTAATGCATCCTCGCTGAATAAAAGCATTAATTTCTTTTTTAAAAAGCAAAACAAAACAAAACAAAACAAAAATCTTACTGACTCCAAACTTTCGAACAATGGTGTACTTATATTGTGCACATACATATTAGTATATAAATTAAATATAAATATATAAATATAAAAAAAAAACATATTTAAACATTACAATTAAAATATTAAACCATAATATTAAAAAAAATTACCCCAAGTGTTCATAATGTGATACCGTTCTTGCATTGATTCCAGACTTACAGCTTTATTCATTTGTTATGAATACCAGTAATATGATTTCTGAATCTCGAATTTGTGTCCATATCAATTTTATCTATCTATCTATCTATCTATCTATCTATCTATCTATCTATCTATCTATCTATCTATCTATCACAAGCTAAATGCATGGAAATGAGTGGATCAGTGGTTGTTGATACCTGAGGTCTTCTTCTCCGACAGGCCTCCTCCAGGTGTTTGTGCCACAAGATCGCAGTGAACCGATCGCTAGTCTGAAACTTGTAAACATTCCCTGAGAAACACAGAGATTCTGCTCCAGTTATGTGGATACAATCATTTCGCAATGAATACATTTGTCATATAAAAGCACTAAAAGAAACCCTGTGTGAATCAGATTTACCTTTGTCAGGATGGTTGAGCTGAAAGATGTTGGGTTGAGCCGGATCATCCGGCAGCACCACCATCCAGCCCAGAACACACACTTTCTTACACGGTGAAGACTTGTACTGTGTTATACAGCGTAAGATTCCAAAAAATGTTATTTTCATGTCAAATGATTCATTTTTCTTCTTAAAAGAATGAAATATGTCTCCATTAATGTTGACATTTTTTATTTATTTTAAATTAATTTTAATAAAATTAAATACAATTTTTTTTTTTTTTTTATAAAAATACGGAATTGCTGTGTGCTTCTTTGCGTCACCCACATGTTTCCGTTCTGTGGCTCGCAGGGCTTTGGATCCGTAGAATATGAGAGTGGAACCAGAAAGTGTGATCCAAAACCGCGTCCACGAGGCGAGCTGAAAACAAAACAAAACATGATATACAAGCCATGACGCAAACATGAATTAAACAACAGAGCTGGGCAACATTTGCTATGAACATATAAATATATGAGATATCTAGGGAAATTCCTGCAACTCAGATGAGAGAGCATGGTGCTAACTTCAAACTTCAATTCCCAGGGAATGCATGAACTGATCAAATTTACCTTTGGATAGAAGCATCTGCCAAATTCATAAATGTAAATGTAAAGACATTTTTATGTTTTTTTAGATATACTGTTTCTGAAAAGATAAATGAAGAAACAGACTTTGGAATGATCTTTTTTGATGTTTTGTGTTTGTACGAGTTGGCCACTAGATAGAGTGCTTGAGTCAAATGTTTAGTTCATTCAAAGCCACAGAGACACACCTGTTGGTCAGTGTGAAAGTTTTCTCTTTGTTCAGGATGCTTTTAATATCTCGTGAAGGCCCTGAAGGAGGCTGAAATGTCATGAAACTTTTTCATGTAAAAGCTAAAAATTGGCCTCTGTTGCATACTTTTTTTTTTTTTGAAAAGTATATAATCAACCAAACATCTCAAAATGTATCTGTTATTATCTGCTACATCCCAAACAGCAAAAAACAAAAAAAAAGTATATTTCAAAATATACAAAAAAAAGGCCAAATATATTTGCTAAAATATTTCTAAATTTATTTATATACATATATTTTCTACCGATATATAATCTATCTATCTATCCATCCATCCATCCATCTTTTTAAAAATAAATATTTTAAGTATATATTTTAAAGGCATTTAGTGATAACTTTGCCCTCCATTTATTTCAAACCATGAACATACATTCAAATGTCACATTTGAAGAAAACATTTTATGCTGTCTATAATGCATACACATTTGAATAATAATCAGCAAAGGGACATACTTTACAATGTTAAAAATAAAATAAAAATAAATATTCTTAATAATACTTACATTTAATATGAAGATTGAAACTATATATATATATATATATATATATATATACAGTCTCAACCTTCATATTAAATATATATATCTTTTTCAAAAACATTTCATACATACAACATATATTGAGCATATATTTAAAATATTTTTTTGCCATTTTATGTAATCTTCACGCTGATATCTTTGGCCATAAGTACAGTTTCTGGAGCTGTAAATGTCATGTATGCACCAATTCAAAGCAAATGCATATATTTATATACTGAATATTCACAACTGCTGAAAAATATTCAAACATAGTTTTTTTTAACTCATATTTGTTCCCTTCCTGCTCACCTTGGGTTTCCTGCCCTCCTTCAGCAGGGTTTTCCTCTTCAGCGGCCCCTGCATCGTGACTCCACTCGACTCTCCATGAGCCAGACTGGGCTCTGCTACTGACGGACTGCACAGAGGGAATCACATTAGCCCAACACCCTCTCAAAAACAACAACAACCAGCTGTTGTGTGTGTGTGGACTGTTGCTTCTCTAAGCATGTAATGAGGCCTCAGAGAGCAGACGTTCCAGCTCACATCTGCTGTGAGGATGTGATGGAGCTGCTGGAGAGCTCAGGCTGAGGTGAAGTGTGAGTCTGAGAGATGCAGGACAGAAAGGTTCCCCTTCACCCGGCAAACACCCCACTCACAAGATATCGGCTCTGTATCCAAACCTAGTGAGCTGCCTATGTAGGATGCATTTTCATACGCACATTCTCAATGTAAACCGTATAATAACGCAGCCTTTAAAATACTCTATTCGTGCCAAATTCCTCAAGTGTTTTACTCCATATTAGACTTTAAAATATTTAAAAGACCATTTAATATCTGACGTTCCAGTGAAGACCTGCACTATCAAATACATTGTTTTTATACATTATGAATGGCTAGAAATCAATCATTTTGTATTATACCATCATTATATAATCACTGTTGCACTCTATTGAGCCGAGTCTCCTCACATACATCACACTTGCATTGCTTTCTAGAAGCTTCATTTAACTAAACCACAATCAAAGGCACTTAAACTTCGTGTTGCTTTGCGTTGTTTTAAAAGGCAGCTTAAAATTTTTATGTATAAAGAACATATTTATAAAGTGTTAAAAATTATTATTATAAATGTGTAAAATGTTATTTGGAAAAAAATGTGTTTCTATTACATTATATATATATATATATTTTCCCTACACACTATAGTCCTGTACTGTTCAGAAGTATTTAAATCAATTTCTAAATTTTTATTTCAAATCTCTCTTAATATTTTTAAATCGGTTTTAAAATCAGATTTAATTATATTACATTATATTCTGTTTTTCCTACTCACTTTAGTACTGTACTGTTTAGATGTATTTAAATCAATTTTTTTAATCTAATTCACTAATTCATTAATTAATTTAATCTATTTTTATATGATTTATTTATTTGAACCTAATTGTTATTATTTATTTTAATCTTATTCATTTCTTTATGTTAATCAATTTTTTTATTTTCACCTAATTGTTATTGTTTAATGTATTTTTATTATTTATTTTTTTAAACAAATTGTTGGTTTATTTATTTTTAATCAAAATGTTTTCTTTATTTTAATCTTTTTATTATTCGTTTACTTTAACCTAATTGTTATTGTTATTATTTATTTTAAACAGTTTCTTTATTTAATGTTATTTATTTATTATTTATTAATTTACACTATTTTATGCCGTTTTTCTCTAAACTTTTCTACAGACCCTCAGTTTGAAAACCCCTGTGCTAAATGACTGAATGTGAGGAGCTCTATTTGAATGCTGTCCATGTACAGTGTCACACTAGTTAGGATGCTGCATCAGAAGGAAGCCGTCTAGGTAGACAGCACAGGACAGTGGGCCGCAAGTTAGCTGGTTAAGTTTCGGAACAGAGCTTTTCTCTTCTATAAATACAGTCATTCTGTACTATAAACATGATGACAATCTGATGTCTGGATGAAGAGAGAACAGACGACAGACATGACAGTCTTCAGACTAAACCAGAAAAGAGAGGGAAACTGGAATGTTAAAGAGGAGACGCTGCATGCAAGACAGGTGAACCCGATGTCCCGGAGGAACGGAGGAGGTGACCTTTGACCCAGGTAAGGGTTTGTACCTGTGGGCATGGCTGCAGCCTCTGGGGGACGCGCGGAGAGGAACCCTCCAGTTAGGGCCCAGAGTCGCGTGCATGCGGCCCCTGTTTGCACATTCGCTACAATGAGTTTGATTGATACGGATACTACACTCAAACTAACATTTAGGCCTAAATTTGTGTATTGAAATGCATATAAATTTTTCATCCATTTGATTTCACAGTTTTAACATAAAAAAAATTAACTTAATGCGATGCATGTTTGTCAGTCATACATGAGTTAAACAGGTAAGAAACAGGTCAAATTTCAGCACTCAAAAAAAAAATAAAAAAATTAATGATTAAAAATTGTAAAAAAAAAAAATCTTATTATAAACTTTATGCATCTATTTTATCAAATTCAAATTGCTTAGAATCAGCATAAATCAATGGAAGCTTATTTCTATAATAAAAAAGGGTAACCGACTTTTTTCATCTTTTATTCTTCCTGTTCTGATATATAAACTCAGAATTGCATTTTAAATTCAAAATTCTGATTTAAATCCAAATTTACATCTCGTAATTCTGACTTTTTTCTCTGAATTCGGAGTTAACATTTTTTTTGCCTCATGGAATAAAAATAAAATGTATAAAATATAAAAAAAATTATAAAAAATGTTTTAGATTAAAAATAAATAAACCAACACTTTGTTTGAAAAAAATAAATAATAAAAATACATTAAACAATAACAATTAGGTGAAAATAAAAAAATAGATTAAAATAAAGAAATGAATAAGATTAAAATAAATAATAACAATTATTTATATCTTGCAAATCTGACCTTTATTCCTCAGACTTGTGAGAGAAAAAAGTCAGAATTGTGAGATAAAACGTCATAATTACCTTATTTATTTATTTACTTTGATCCCGCTTCCATATAAATCAGTTTTTTGTGTTCGCAGTTAAAAAGTATGAACATGGTTAAAATATGGCTAGCTTTGAAACAAGCAAATGAAAATGGAAACAATTTGGATTTATTGATGATAAATAAATAAACCTGGTTATTGTGCATTTAAAACACATTCAGTTTACAGAAATCTAACCTGTTTCATTTATGTATAGTTGACAAATATGCATCACATTCAGTTTATTCGTTTATTGATGGACATTTCAAATGCAATACATAAATCTTACATTTAGGCCTAAATATTGTTTGAACATATACACTGACTGATTTAAAGAAAACTGAATGAAATGACTGAATCTGTGCAAATGTTAAAGGGATAGCTCACATAACAATGAAAACTTACTTTCTCTTTTACATGCAATTCAAACATACAGTACAGTGATGACTTTCAACGTTCAAAAACGCACAATTTCACAGCTAATATGATTTGTGCACAATATCCCAAGACTTCTGAACTCATGTGTTCCAACACATAGGGCTTGTGCAAACTGAAGACTAGTGCAAAAGTTGTTTGCATCACTGTTATGGTGCTTGAAAGCTCTTGGTCACTGTCTGCTTTTACTGCATGGAAAAGAGCAGCGTGAACATCTGCTAAACGTTTCCTTTTGTGTCTCATAGAAGAAAGATGAGTGAATAAATGACGTTTCATTTTTCAGGTGAACTATGCCTTTAAAGCTTTAACTAGCTCTGAGACCAATTTTTGTTGCAGTTGTTTTGCTATTTGTATGTATATAAATGCGTTCTCCTGTGGAATAGACATATAAAGATGTTAAACATTTATAAACATCTATAACTGGAAACGATAGGCTAAATGAACAACAAAAACAATAAACAATTAGTACTGTTGAGCTATGAAAAATGAATAGAATTAATTTGTTTTAGAAATCTCATTTTTACATGTTGTTCCATGGCAGTTCATCTTATGAAGATCATACAGTAACACTTTACAATACGCTTCATTTGTAAACTACATCAGTTAACATGAATGAATGAACAATGAAAATACTTCTAAAGCATTTATTTAGTCTTAATCTTAGTCAATGTCAACATTTAGTGATACATTATTAAAGATCAAAAGTTGTATCTATTAATATCATTTTTAGCTAACATGAACTAACAATGTATATTTATTAACAAATATTAATAAGTACTGTAACAAATGTATTGCTCATTGATGTTAGTTTATGCAATGTTAACTAATGAGACCTTATTGCAAAATGTTACTGGTCAGATTCTCTTATTAGTAATCTCAGACTGCCAGGCCAGGAAAACCTTTTCTTCTCTCATAATGGTTGAGTTTTCCTCTAGAATGACCGGAGTAAGTCATACTAAAGCTGCAATGTGAGCAGGTGATGTTTAGACACAAATGCATGACAAAACAGACAGAGTCTCACCTCTCGAGCCCTGGAGAGAGATCATCACAGAACGAACTCTGACTGCTGCCTGATGAAACACAAACCAAACAAACCTCACAACCGTTTCCAGTAGAGTACACAATGAGGTACATTAGTCGTGGCCTAATGGTTAGAGAGTCGGACTCGTAACCCAAAGGTTGTAGGTGGGGGGGGAGTGAATGTACAGTGCTCTCTCCCACCTTCAATACCACGACTGAGGTGCCCTTGAGCAAGGCACCGAACCCCCAACTGCTCCCCGGGCGCCGCAGCATAAATGGCTGCCCACTGCTCCGGGTGTGTGTTCACGGTGTGTGTGTGCACTTTGGATGGGTAAAATGCAGAGATGTGGCATACTTGGCCACATGTCACGTCACTTTCACAAAAGCAGTACAGTACGACCTCAAAGACATTACTGGGGCTGCAAAATGGTTTCATTTAAAACACTGAAGACATACATTTTTATTAAAATGTTATTTTAATCATTTCATTAGAAATTGATAACACAAAATAATTTCGACTTGTCTCTCATTTTCTTGTAATAAGTAATGCACTTACTATGGAAGTACACTGGGTCAGGCATTAAAAAACACTGAAAGCCACAAGACTATATTGCATGCGTTTGCATGGGATTTGTGTGGTACAAACACTGATTTTCTCTGTGCAAAGTTATATTTAGTCTTTCAACTCTGTTGCCATGGCGACACAATGGCCGTTCTGTTCCTTTTGCACAAAACATGCAATGATACCAGAAATCTAATATCTATTATAAAACATATCTGCTTGATTGCTTATAGTGTCGCAAAATATAATTGTCCAGCTCTAATCTGCTAAATGCAACTCTACGGCATGAAGATATTAAGATATGATATAGTCAACTTTAACTTCATGATTTTCTGTAAACGTGCTTTGAAACAATGTGTGTGAAAAGAACCATATAAATAAATTTGACTTGACTAATTCATGTAAGTGCTTTAACAATAATATAAAAGCTTCACATTTATGCTTTTAAATCCTCTAGAATGCTGGGTCCGTTTACTTCCAAGTGCATTACTCTAACCACTTTTTTTATGTATTTTTGAGGGATGATTCAAAATGATTTTTAGCAGTAATCAATGTCATGCCAGAAAGATGCATTAAATAGGATGTGCAGGGCTTTGGTAAAATGCCACAGCTTGTGCTGATACCTCTCGAGATGCCGTTGGACACGGATGAGCTGTGTGGGTTGTTCCGCGCTGGACTCTGGGACTCTAGGAAGCTGTCGTCCAGCAGGTGACGTGGTTTCTCTATGGGGAACGTCGCACTTTTACTCTCCACCACACCGAAATGCCACATCATACTGCGAGAGAGTCAGAAAACCATCATGAGGCATGAGATTGTGCAACACCATAAGTTTCCAGGGAGAAGTAAGTTTGCCAAACTAAATACAAAAGTCTTGCATATTTGTGACCCTGGAGCACAAAAGCAGTCTTAAGTCGCTGGGGTATATTTGTAGCAATAGCCAAAAATACATTGTATGGGTCAAAATTATTGATTTTTCTTTTATGCCAAAGATCATTAGGATATTAAGTAAAGATCATGTTCCATGAAGATATTTAGTACATTTCCTACCATAAATATATTAAAACTGAATTTTTGATTAGTAATATGCATTGCTAAGAATTTCATTTGGACAACTTTAAAGGCGATTTTCTCAATATTCAGATTATTTTGCACCCTCATTTTTCAAATAGTTGTATCTCGAACAAATATTGTCCTATCCTAACAAACCATACATCAATGGAAAGCTTATTTATTCAGCTTTCAGCTGACATATAAATCTCAATTTCGAAAAATGTACCCTTATGACTGATTTTGTGGTCCAGGGTCACATTTGATATTTAGTATACAGTTACACTAACGTTCAAGTTTGGGGTTGGTAAGATTTCTTAATGTTTTTGAAAGAAGCCCTTCTGCTCACCAAAGCTGCATTTGTTTGACTAAAAATGCAGTAAGACAGTAATTTTGTCAAATATTATTACAATTTAAAATAACTGGTTTCTATGTGAATATATTGTAAAATGTAATATATTTATTTGATGCGCAGCTGTATTTTCAGCATCATTACTCCAGTCTTCAGTGTCACATGATCTTCAGAAATCAGTATAATATGCTGATTTGCTGCTCAAGAAACATTTCTGATTTTTATCAATGTTGAAAACAGTTGTGCTGCTTCATGTTTTTGTGGAAACTGGAAATTTTTTTCTGGAGTCTTCTAAACCTAAAAAAAGAAAAAGAAAACTAAAATCTAAAAACCAAAAAAAATACGTACCTAAAACACCTAAAAATAAATTCATAAATGTTAAGTGGAATTAAATAAAATATAAAAAAAGGAAACTTTTTTGTTACTTTCAACTTGTTGCCAAGGTTAACTTGATTTACTAAAATAAATACTAAAACTAACTAAAACTGGGGAAAAACATCTATAGAGGTTTATATAGAGGTTAAAATGAAAATGGAAAATATAAAAATAAAAACGAATCCAATATATTAATAAAAACTATTATAGTATCTCAATGACACAAATGTAGCATTGGTAACAGTCTCACCTTAAAAAAAAAAAAAAAAAAAAATCTGGGTTTTATAGAATAATTCATGCAAGTGCAATAATAAAAAGCTTCAAACTTATGCTTTAAATCCTCCAGAAGGCTGGGCCTCTGTACTTCCAAATACATGACTTTAAATACATTATATTTATTTATTTTGAAACTGAGGGATGATTCAATATAATTTGATGTATATAAAGTAAAAAAAAACAGCATTTATTTGAAATAGAAATCTTGTGTAACAACATTATAAATGTCTTTACTGTCACTTTTGATTAATTTAATGCATCCTTGCTGAATAAAAGTATTAATTTCTTTCAAAAAATCATACTGACCCCAAACTTTTGATCAAAATACAGTATGTAAGTGTGTGTGTATATGTAAAAAGAGACAAAACAGACGCGTTTCCGAGGCTGTGGCTCTTCCTGTGGCGTGAGGGCGGCGGGGTGGGAATATGAACCCCCACGGTGGCATCAGGGCAAGTGGGCCGTCGATTATACCTGACCGATAAACACAACTCAGACGGACCTGGACGAAAGGGACAAAGAGAGAAAAGCAGAATGAGTTTTGCTCTGAACATGCCTCATTGTATCTCAGCCACTCAGCGTCACACTCAATGAAACATAATGAAAGAAAACACGTGGAGGCTCTGTCAGCGGAGCCTCTGCTTTAGCAATCACAGCCGCAACACAAATGTTAACATTCTCTGGTCCTCTTGAGGGAGACAGATTCACCGCTGCGATGATTATTCAGTCCTGATAGAGGAAAACAGAGGATCCCCAGAGTAACGGCATCCACATGTTCCTGTCCGTGAGTCAGTGATGGAGCTTCATGGCGGCTTTCTTTTCATCACATGCTTTCTGAGGCCTCGCTCGCGGGATTTTCTTCTATTGCACAAAGTAGCTCTATAACTTTAGAGCCTTTAGTGAACAAGCATTTTAGTATTGTTTATATACTATTGTAGTATTTATTAATATTTTGAATTAACCTTCATTTTTATATTTATTAGTTTGCATTTTAGACTAGGTTTTAGCCATTTTATGTTTTTTTTTATATTTCTATTTGGTTTAAATTTAGATGGCTCCAGTGTTATTTTAGTATTATTTATATACTATTATAATATTATATTTATTAAATTTTAGTTTTTTTTTTGTATTAGTCATTTTGTTATGTGCTTTTGTTCTTTTTTATTAGTTTTTGTTACATTAATAATTGTCTTTCATTTATTGTTTATTTTATTCTGTTTTACATTTACATGCGGCCAGTGTTATTTTCATATTATTTATATATTATAGTATTCATTAACATTTTAAATTAGCTTTTATTTTTTTACATTTTTATTTTAATTATTTTAAGTTTTAGTAATTGTATGTGCTTTTCTCATTTTAATTAAAACATTTTTTTTAAATATATATTTCTATGTAGCTTTCATTTAGTTTTATTCCCGTTTTGCATTTAGATGGCACCAGTGTTGTTTTAGTATTACTTATATACTGATACTAAATTATTATAGTATTTATTCATATTTTGAATGAGCTTTTTTATATATTATCCGTTTCCATTTAATATCAATTTAAGCTTTAGTCATTTTTATTCTTTTCAAATTGTATTTTTTTCTATTTGGTGTTAATTTATTTTAATTTCAGCTTTGTTTTAGCAATTTTAGCACTTCAACTTAAACTTATGTTAGTTAGCTGTTGAGGCAACATTTCTAACTTTCATTTACATTTTCTTTTGGAAAACTGTTTGGAAACCATCATTAGCAATGCAAAGATGAAGGAAGTTTTCTCTTTCAGTTGCTCAAAATCAGCAGTATTATACTTTGACATGTTACTAATGGTGCAGATGCAGTTCAGCTTATTTACATGTGCATTATGCATTTAACAGACGATTTTTTTGATCCAAAATAGAGCAAATCTGTTATTTGTGTTAAAGGGAAAAGCCTGAACAGTTTACATGTTCACATGGGTAACTAAAGCGATAGTTCATCCAAAAATGAAAATTCTGCCATGATTTCTCACCCTCGTATTGTTCCAAACAATCCCTTTCTGCCAAAATAACTTTTGTGTGTGACACAGAAAGAAAGTCATAGTTTGGAGGCACATTTGTGTGAGTTCATGTTTGGGTGAACTATCTCATCACATGAACCCATCACAACAGGCGATCAGAGAGTCTCAGACTCAAGAGTCCTCCACAGTGGACAAAAACACCTTCAGGCATCATGGGAAAGTGGAAACAATGTAGGACAGTATGCTTACACACCAGAAGACACATTTAATGGAGCGACTGGAGCCTTAAACACTGACCAGTCTCTTCCAGTCTGGCTCTGACGACTGCTTTACACCTTGTTAAAGGTTCATGTTAAAAGCTTCATTAATGAAATGAATGCCACATTCGGAGTGTGATATTCCATCTGACAATGAAAGCTGCATGATGCGGTGAGATCTGATTTGAAGCAGATGTTCATGGAATTAGAACATGGAATTTTTAAGTAGTATCAGCAATTAAATGTAAAATGAAACTTGTGGTATGGAGCTACTTTTGTGTCTTTTTAGGTAATCAAACATACTTTGTTTGAGAGCAACATGAATTATATAGTAATTAAAAAAAGACTGCAAATAAAAAGTCTTCTTAAGACTGTTTCTAATTGCAATAATACAATAATTGATCAAATAACTGATCTCAATTTGTTTTATTAATAGTTTTGCTCTCACACACAATATGTTTGATTGCAGAAAAAAGTAGTGCTTGACTATTGATGATGCTGATATTTTATATTTTACATAGTATTTACTAAAATATTTGAAAATAAACTATTTCAAAATGTATCGATTTTAAAAAACAAAAAAATTTGAACTTGATAAAAAGTATCTGTAAAATAAATGACAGATTTATGCTTGATTCAGCAACTTCTTGATTTGCTGGACTCTCAGCACTTCAAAAATAAAAGTCCCCCACATGATACTTATTGGTCTTAAACTTAAAAACAAACAAACAAACAAAAAAAAAATATTGGCTTATACAGTATGTCAGCTTTGGCAATGTATCAGTCGACCACTAAACCTAACTCCATAATTATTTACAGTAGAAAATGTGCCCCAGACATTGAACTATGGCGCTTTTTGGGACACCCAGGATCGAATCCGACCTGTGCTATGTCCTGATTTCATCTATAATTAATAATTTCCTGCTTTGAAATAAAATGTGGCAAAAGACTATGATTGTTAAGCTTCAGAGGGAAAGCTGGCAGCACTCGGGGAAACTACAGAGCGGCTGCATCACTTCCAGTGCTCAAAACTGCAATCAGATGACTGGCTCAAACTGTGTTTGCACAGATATTATGCAGGTTCCACTGGAAAGACATACATTTTCATACATTATGGCCCTTTATTAATCACCTAATTATTAATTACCTAATATTTAGAGCACAGCTGACACTGGAGACAATTGTAGGTCAATCATTTGACCTCTCAGCTTGATAGGACATTCTGTCTCGTTTTGTACTTGGCTGCTCCAAAAGCGTTTACTATGCTTTAAAAGTCAACATTAAAGTACTCAAGTTACTCCAGTGTTTAGTACTTAAACATTTAATAAGCTTTTAGGAGAAGAAGGTTTTCTAAATGTGTTTGTCTGGTGTCTTCTGTACCTGCTGACTCCAAATCTTTCTTTTCTTCCTCTTTTAAAAGTGAATTAGATGTCAGACACATGCTTTGAGTTTAGCAGTACATGTTAGCAATCAATCTGGCCCTGTCTGTATGTGCTGATTCATAAGTTTAGGCACATATTTTCCTGTGTGGAGGTCAAACTGTACGGTATGAAAGCATAACTCGTGTTTCTTTAGTTTTTACTACTAAATGAGAGATTTGAGTGACGTTAGAGCCTCTTCTGCTCACCAAGGCTGCATTTATTTGATCAAAAATACAGTCAAATCAGCAATATTGTGAAATATTATTTCCATTCAAAAGAACTGATTTCTATTGTTATATATTTTGAAATGTAGTTTATTTCTGTGATCAAAGCTGAATTTTCAGCATCATTACTCCAGTCTTCAGTGTCACATGATCCTTCAGAAATCATTCTAATATTCTGATTTGCTGCTCAAGGATTCTTTGATGAATAGAAAGTTTCAAAAGAATAGCTTTTATTTGAAATAGAAGTCTTTACTGTCACTTTTAATCAATTTAATGTGTCCTTGCTGAATAAAACTCACCCCAGACTTTTGAATAGTAGTGTATGCACACAACTAAATGATGACAGGGAAACACAATGTGCAGAGCTAAGAATAGCATCCAAAGCAGCGGACGTGAGCGTGAGACGTCTCTGTCACGGGTCTGATTGTGATTAAGACCTGCTGTTACCAACATGAATGTAACCGGCTGCTTCCAGCTAATAATACTTTTACAGTGATGTATTTGAGAAATATTGTGCATGTGTGTCTGACTGTGACACAGAGCAACAGGTATGTTCACACACAGCCTGGACTTTCCCATCTAAACACATTTACGGCTTCTTTCTTTTCAGTATCTGTCTATCGGTCCATCCATCCATCCATCCATCCATCCATCCATCCATCATTCTATCATCCATCTATCCATCCATTCTTCTATTGTTCTAACCATCTATATTTCTATCATCCATCCATCCTTCTACTGTTCTTTCCATCTATCATTCTATCAATCCATTCATCCATCATTCTATTGTTCTGTTCAACTATCGTTCTATCATCCATCCATCCTTCTACTGTTCTTTCCATCTATCATTCTATCAATCCATTCATCCATCATTCCTATTGTTCTGTTCAACTATCGTTCTATCATCCATCCATCGTTCTACTGTTCTTTCCATCTATCATTCTATCATCCATCAATCCATTCATCCTTCTATTGTTCTATCAATCTGTTGTTCTATCATCCATCCATATATCCATCCATCGTTCTAATGTCCTGTCCATCTATCATTCTATCATCCATCAATCCATTCATCCATCCATTCATTCTTCTATTGTTCTATCCATCTACCATTCTATCATCCATCCATCCTTCTAATGATCTATCTATCATCCATCCATCCATCCATTCATCCATCCTTCTATTGGTTTAACAATCTATCATCCATCCATCCTTCTATTGGTTTATCCATCCATCTATCATCCATCCATCCATCCATCATTCTTCTATTGTCCTATCCATTTACCATTCTACCATCCATCCATCCATCCATCGGTTTATCCATCCATCCATCCTTCTATTGGTTTATTCATCCATCCATCCATCCATCGTTCTATCCATCTATCATTCTATCATCCATCCATTCTTCTTTTGTTCTATCCAACTATTGTTCTTTCATCCACCCATCCATCCAGTGTTTTATTGTTTTATCTAATGAAAATGTACAATTCAGTAGTGTTTAAAAAGCATCCTATGAATGCGCAGCATGAGCAGAGCTGGAATCTAGACAACTTGGAAATTTGTTTTGATCGGTTGAATGTGTTTTGGTCACTACATCACCGAAGTACAGTTTGTGTTATTTCATACTTTTGATGACTTTACTATGATTCTTGAATGTGAAAAACAGTCATAATAAAGATAGAGTAGGTGTGTCTGAACGTGGCAGATCAGTGGCAAGATCTCATTTCCTCGGCTGGACGTCTTCACAAATACATCTACCGGGTTATGTAACAGCCAGTCACCCTGAGACTTTAGGAAAGACCTCGTCCGCACAGTCCTCGCTGTGATGTAACCACGTGGCCACAGGCATCTCATTCAATAAATGAAAATTATATATATATACCAAACGTTGCTTCATGTCACGCATTGGCATTTAAGAATAAAATGAAAAGGAAAGAATGACACATCAAAAGCCAAATGGTCCCAGTATCCCAGACCGCTGTGTTATATTACACTCGGTCAGATCATCTGGTGCTGATATTTAGATGGGTATGATGCTTCATAGGGAAAAAATTTTGATGTTTTTATTTAATAATAAAAAACTTTCTGACTACAAATGTTCTAGACGTTCACTCCTGGCATTGGAATGAGAGTAGACGTGTTACTAAATGGCAAGAGAGGTTGCACTGGAAACCCCACAAACAACAACTTTTACGAACATGGAAACCTATAGATTTAGTTACACAGCTTAGGAGCAAATGCTTACAAATGATACTCATGGCGAACTTCTATTACTACTGGAAAACCCCTGTTGGCTCGTCATATCATGTACAATGAATGTCAGTATGTAACATACAATATTTACAATGTACGAGTCTGAGCAGTTCAAAGAGGACTAGAAATCCACACCTATGTGTTTATTACATGGCTCACATTCACACAAGACACTGAAAGTCATTTAAACTTTCAGTTATATGTGCCATAAAATAATCTCATAACTGTTTTTGGCAGTGAATAAACCAAAAGTACCTCAATTAGAGGAGTTAATGATTATGTGATGATATAGTATTAAGCTAATCGACTATTGTTTGTTCAATTTCAGCACAAATGTGCTCATGTGAGCTGTGGGTCAAAACACACAAGGCAATTTGGGCTAGTACACATTTTGTGTACAATTATTATAATTTTTATAAATATAATTATTACTAACCGTAGTAAATTCATGGTCCCTAAACATAACATTATAAGATATGCAATTATACAAACTCTGATGAAAATAAAATAAAAAATAAATGAATATAGTTTAGCACTGAGCAATCCTGAACATTTTAGGCCTTTTGATGATGCCAAATATATTTAATAATTATGTATAACAATTTTTTTTATCAGTATCACTCCAAACTCCAGGAAGTGTCACTGTTGTCTAGAGGATTCAACATGTTTAAACGCAAGTAAAATACAGTTAAAACCTAATTTTAAAGCTATTTTTAAACTAATTAAATTATATATGAGATATTATATAAATATTTAACCACTTGAATTAATTTACTTAAATATTATTTTCTTTTTTACACTAACAATTGTGAGTGAATAGATTCATAACACTAATTCCATGATTCATATGTGTATCAAATGATTGAATCAGTGTTTTGAATCGGTTCACTGAAATAGATGCTCTGAAACTGAATTCCATCAGTATTTTATTTCAGATCAGACGTGCTATTAAACTCCTTCTCAGATCTCTCATACATGTTTTGCTTTCATCAAAGAACCCTGAAAAAAAGTATCAGATCTTTAAAAGTATTAATTATTTTTTTTGCATATAGAATGATTTCTGAAGGATCATGTGACACTGTGATCACAGAAATAAATTACATTTTAAAATATATTACAGTATAACATTTTTTTTCAAATGCTAATAATATTTCCCAATATTACTGTTTTTACAGTAATATTGGCGATGGAGCTTGAGAAGGTCGTTCAAAGCATTGCTCAACGATACGGTTCATCACTGTTTTCTGGCCTCAATGAGTGATGCCTGCATGTGGAGTTGTGATGTAGATTTGCAATATTGAGATTATAAAGGCTCCGTCGAGAGCCATTTATGTGCTGTTTGTTTTCTCAGTCCACATTCTGTTCCCTTTGCCCTTTCAATGAGTCAAAGAGGACGGGGCCCCTCAGAGCCCTTCATTAACTCTACCACCAGGGGCCAGGGACCTCATTCAGATGGGACATAATGGATGCTGGGGGAAAATGACTGCAATGTCTTCTGTAAGTTACTACCGTTCAAAATTTGGGAGTCAGTAAGTTTTAATTTTTTTAAAGAAATGAATACTTTTATTCAGCAAGGATGCATTAAACTGATCAAAAGTGACAGTAAAGACATTTATAATGTTACAAAAGATTTCTATTTCAAATAAATATTGTTCTTTTGAACTCTCTATTCATCAAAGGGTACTGAAAAAAATATGTATCAGAGAGGTATTTTAAATTGCAATAATATTTCACAATATTACTGTTTTTACTGATCAAATAAATGCAGTCAGTGTTAACAAAAGAGATTTCTTTCCAAAACATTTTAAAAGGTTTTGAACGATAGCGAACGATAGGGCCTCATGGCAAAAAAATATATTTTAGACAACAAAATGCAGATATATTAAAAGTGTAGAAATAATGACATTTAGGGTGTTTTACCTGCAAGATCTTCTTTGGATGTGGCCATGCGCGGCGAGCTGTTCCCTGGTTCAATTTTCAGAGACAGTCTGTAACGGAAAGACAAGCAAAAGTCTCACACTCCACAAGTTCCAGGAAGCTTCAGGGTGGTACATTTAATATTTCAAAAGCAACTAATGATTGGCTGAAGGTACAGGGTTTGAAGATTAATTAATTTAGTTGAATCGGATCTGCCATAAACCCAAAAGACGACATGTTAGCGAAGTCACCACATCATTTTACCCTCAACCTTCAGTGCCACCTTAAACACTCAACATTTATTTTACTGTAAGAGACGTCACTTTTAATTTAAAACAAAAATATAATGGAAAACAGGATTTTTCTTGCTCTTTTCTATTAAGAGAATAGTTCACCCAAAATTACAATTTGCTCAAAAAGTACTCACTAGCAACATGACTTGCTCACCAGTGGATCCTCTGCAGTGAAAAAAAGTGAAAAAGTCCAGCTTTTGGCTTCACAAGACATTAACTGATGGACTGGAGTGGTGTGGATTACTTGTGGATTATTGTGATGTTTTTATCAGCTGTTTGGACTCTCATTCTGACGGCACCCATTCACTGCAGAGCATCCATTGCTGAGACAGTGATGCAATGCTACATTTCTCCAAATCTGATGAAGAAACAAACTCATCTACATCTTGGATGGCCTGAGGGTGAGGACATTTTCAACAAAATTGAATTTTTGGGTGAACTACTCCTTGAAAAAGTTTGATGCACTATGTATACCTTCGCCAAGTGCAAGAAGATTTCTTAAATTGAAACTGCAAAAATGACATCAAAACCATAAGCTCATTAACATATGACTGCCCACATTTACATTTAACACCTAGTCAGTATTCCTGCAACTTAACCTGCCCTGATGAACAACAGTCTATGTAAAATTTCATCACTTGCAAAATGACTAGAGACTAGAAAGATCATACAACACTAAACTGTAACCACTTCACCTTTCAAAAGCTATAAAAGCACTTACAGGCCTCGGAGGTGATGTAAAATGTTCATGCATGCATTTGGCTTTTCTAGTCGTGTACTTGACCAAAAGGAGACACTGAGAAACCCAAACAGGATCTGCTGGGCTGATAACATTTCACGTTTTTATAGGGGACCAGAAGGGACTCGTTGTTAACAATCCAATAGACTGAACTGCAATCTCTTATTTCCACACCATCAATTATGATTTGACATTCAGAATGCACAGAATATGCAAAAACAGCCTTTAATGGTGCTTTGGCATGATGTACGGTGAGATTTAAAAAGGAGCATTCAAAATAAACAGCATGCAGCCAAGTTTCTGTCTCTCAAACAACAAGACCAAGGTCATGGGTTCGATTCCCAGGAAATGAATGAGTTGAAAAAAATGTATAGCTTGAATAAAGTCGCTTTAGATAAAAGCATCTGCCTAAAGCATAAATGTAAAAAATGAGTATAAGTTGTCAACTACTTTTTTGTCAACAAAAGTGAGTTTTTTGACCATTTTGGTCTGAAGTTTTGCTAAATATTGATGCTATGAGCGAACCAGGGTTATTAGTTAAACTAAAAAAACATTAAAAAAAAACGCATTTTCATTACATATAAAAATAAAATAAACTTGAACTGAAATGAAATAAATATAAAAACCTTGACCTTATTTTAGAGAGCTGCCAAAGCGACATTTCTCATTGTCGTTTAGTTTAACCTGACGAACTGAAATAACTCAAACTGAAATAAAAAATGAATAAAAATCTATACAAATAATTAAATAAACAAAAACTAACAAACAAAATTAGTAAAACATTTAACTACAATTGAACAACAACTTTCCTACCCCAACATATGTAAAAGTTATAATAATAATAATATTTTAATAGCAAAATGTACAAAAATGCATAATTTAAAATACATAAACAATAATTTATCATAAGGAAATTACTTAAGTTACAGTTAAATTATAGTACAGTTACATTATCTGTTATTGTTTATAAACAAAATAAATCTCACATCAGGGATTTGTTCAGTCATCTTTATTTAACATTCCACATTTATCCAGGTGTGGTACAGTCAGTTTACTCATCTTAAATGCAGCTACTGGACTTTTTTTTTACATTTATGATCACTAGAGATCAATTACTGTGTGTTTGTAATAATCAAATCATTGAATATTTTTAAATAATTGAACACATCTGCAGAAATTACATCCAAAGAACCAGTTTAACACCATGAGCACACTGAAGAAAAAGTCCTCATTAAACAACACAAGACCTGATGGCCAAAGAACAAAATGAAACCGCCAAAAACAGCAACTCAACAACCCGAAACAGCGTTCAGGGGATTTGTGAAAGAAAAGATCAGATTCTTTCAGGATAACACACTGTTTTAGGGAAGTCAGATAGCCGGTGGGTGTGGAGAAATCCCTGGAGAAGCACTAATCACAGCAATCAATCATTCACTGCTAATTTGCACATAACAGCATTTCTCAGTCACAAAAACACACATTTTCACTGATGAGATTGGAGTGACTTAACAGAGGTTGAGAGTTCAGAAACCAGACAATGTCAAACTATTACAAAACATAACAAGACTACAGTTTTAGGCCTCAAAGACGAGCTCCTGTGCAACGGCTGTTTCCATACGGCAGGCAGCAAAATGACAAATTATAAAGCAGCACCACACGCATTCGCTGCAAAAAAGCCAATCCCAGAATGCACTGCGACGAGCTTGGTGTAAATTTCTGTGAGTACTACAGAGTTGCACTACAACAAACTAACAGCAACTCTATTTAAAAAAGAGATTATTTCAACCAATTTCTGCCACGGAATAAAAAATCAAATTTTATCTCACATTCATCGCATGATTTTTTCCCCCTTGTAATTCTGAGTTTATATCTCTCAATTAAGACTTTTTTCTTGCAATTTGGAGAAAAATCCCAGAATTGCGAGATATAAACTCAGAATTCTGAGGAAAAAGTCAAAATTGTGAGATGTAAACTCCGAATTCTAATAAAAATTCAAAATTGCAATATTTAAATTCAGAATTCAGAGGGAAAATATCGAAATTACGAGACGTAAACTCAAAACTCTGAGGGAAAAAAAGTCAAAAATTGTGTGATGTAAACTCACAATTCAGAGAAAAGTCAAAATCATGAGATGAAAATGAGAAAAAAAAAAGTCAGTTGCAATTACCTTTTAACATTTTTTAATCTGTGGTGGAAACAGGTTGTCAAAGTAAATATGCAAAACATATACAGCACATTGGAAATCACTTCAAACTGCTCATTCCGAGCCTCTGTGTCTGGTGGGTGAGGTTCATTTTCCACCCAGTGTTTCCAGACCTGTGGACCTGCAACGCAAAAGCCCTCGAGCCGCCTGCGTCTTTCATGTTCGCAGCCCATCCAGAAAGCTGGCCGCGGATCAGAAAGAGAGACGGCCACCTCTGATGAGGGAGGCCGGATACAGCCAGCAGCATGATGTCAGTCCTGGATGAACTTCAATAGCCCACCCTACGGTTTCAGTGCGTTTGGGGTCGTAACGGGGTCACAGACAAAACGTCACCATGGAGACCACATGAGAACCGCCGACTATCATCGAGATTTGGAGCTGAGCCCATCTCACCCGCTATAAAACAGAGCTGAGCTGTGCAAAAAAACACCCTGAAGATGAGATCCGGCAAACCACAAATAACTGTCCCTGTGTTGTATAAACAAAGATGGAAGAGCTACTTTAAAAATGTGTTCATCTACAAAATGACACTGACTGAACTCTGACTCGATCCACAAGAAAAGCTCTGTGATTTTAACCAAACGTAACTGCAATCTGATTATTGTAGGTCTTTTTAATGCGACTTTGGTTACATGTACATGTTTTTCTTATGCCTAAACATCAAACAACACACAATTAGACATCAAATATTTGGATTTCTGCAGTATACTGTATTGTAACATTGTTGTGGCCAGTTGTTCGTGTTTAATAAGTCATAAATGTAACATTATCTCACTGGATGAAGTTTTGCTGACATAACAAGAATGGCTTTTGTTAGTTTGGAAGATAAAATAAGTTGAAAATGACAGAAAAATCAGTACTGATACACAATGCACGCAGCATTGCCTACAGCAAAAAGTGTTTATGAATTTATAGCTTCAATTACATTAACGTTTTCTTATTAAATAAAACTGAACTTTATATGACCTGCACAAATTAGAATACTTATATTTTCAAAATATGTAAAAACCTAACTTTAAATAAAAGACAATATACATTTGTTTAATATATAAAAATACATATATTTTCAAAATATAAAATCTAACTATAAATGAAAAATATACTGTATACTTGTATAAAAATATAAATGTATATATATATATTTTTTTTCATAAATATGTAAAAACCTAACTTTAAATGAAGAATGTAAATGTGCATAATATAAAAATACATATTTTTTTTAAGAAAATGCTAATTTTAAATGATGAAAAATATATTTTTCGCTTTTTTTTTAAATATACAAAAATGTTTAATATATAAAAATACATATATTTTCAAAATACATATAAAAATCTAACTATAAATGAAAAATATATACTTGTATAAAACAAATGTGTGTATATATATATTTTTTCATAAATATGTAAAAACCTAACTTTAAATGAAAAATGTAAATGTGCATAATATAAAAATACATATATATATATATATAATGCTAATTTTAAATGATGAAAAATATATTTTTCGCTTTTTTTTTAAATATACAAAAATGTTTAATATATAAAAATACATATATTTTCAAAATACATATAAAAATCTAACTATAAATGAAAAATATATACTTGTATAAAACAAATGTGTGTATATATATATTTTTTCATAAATATGTAAAAACCTAACTTTAAATGAAAAATGTAAATGTGCATAATATATATATTTTTCTTTTTTCAAAAATATGCCAAAAATGTTTAATATATAAAAATACATATATTTTCAAGATAAATATAAAAATCTAACTATAAATGAAAAAATATATACTTGTATAAAAACATAAATGTATACATGTTTTTTTTTCAT